ACACCGTCTGCTGGGAAAGCATTTTTCAAGCTGGTCACCGATCAACGATCAGTTGCATTCATGTTCTCAACAATGAGCTCAAAAGGCAAAATAAAAAATAAAAAACTATCATGCTTCCGGTACGATGTCATCTACCGACCAGGACGTGACAATTTAGCGGCTGACGCGTTTTCACGCGGCTAGTGTACAGCCGCCATAGATCCCAATGTGCTCAAGGAGTTACACGAGGCACTCTGTCATCCGGGGATAATTCGTATGTATCACATCGTCCGTTCTCGTAAATTACCGTAGTCCGTGGATGAGGTCAGACGCGTAATTTCCCAGTGCCAAGTATGCGCCGAGATCAAACCCAGGTTCTACAAACCGGCAAACAAACCATTAATCAAAGCAACTGAGCCGTTCGAAAGATCAAGTATAGATTTCAAGAGTCCACTGCCATCCTGCACACATAATAGATATCTCTTGACGATCATCGACGAATACTCCCGATTTCCTTTCGCATTCGCCTGTCAAGACATGTCCTCCACAACAGTAATCAAGTGTCTCAGTCAACTCTTCTCCATCTTCGGAATGCCGAACTACATCCATTCAGACCGCGGCTCCTCTTTCATGTCAGAAGAACTCAAGCACTTTTTACACTCCAAGGGCATTGCAACCAGCCGAACTACGGCCTACAGTCCTCAGGCCGATGGTAAAGTAGAACGCCTGAACGGATCGTTGTGGCAAGCAATAATGTTAGCATTAAAGTCTAGACATTTGAACATCCGTCACTGGGAGGAGGTCCTTTTAGACGCTCTTCATTCTATGCGATCTTTGTTGTCCACGGCAACTAATGAAACCCCTCATGAACGAATGTTCTGACATAACAGGAAGGCAGTATCAGGAACATCATTACCCAACTGGCTCGTATAGTCCGATCGAGTGTTGTATAGACGACACAATCGTCAATCAAAGTATGACCCTTTGGTCGACGAAGTGCAACTGGTCGAAGGTAACGCGAACTATGACCGCGTAATTCTTCCTCGGGGGGCAAAAAGAGATAATATCTGTTCGTCACCTTGCTCCTTTGCTAAATAACGAATCCAACGACAATCCCTATCACTTCACAACCACAAGCCACATTCGACCAACCATTGCCCACAGAAACAGTGATTCCCTCACTAGAATCCAACCGCTCACAAATACACGATCCAGAAATCAATTGTGATAACACAGACATTCAACACGACTCAAATAGCACACCAGGCTCTGTTAAGACTTTGCAGCAACTACAATAGCGAGTGCGTCCATACTCGTTGAGAAACAGAGAAGCCTAGTTTTGTGTACATCCACATGGCATTCATTCATATCTTATCACTAACGAACTCACACTCAAATATATACACAAATAACAACCCTGAAACACAATCAACTGTGCTGCCAACTGTAAATGTTTCTCACACTACACGCTGTTACTATCATTCAGTTGGTGGGGGTGAATGTCATGTATTGGAACACTAATTTATTTTACAATTCTCGTATTATTCGTGGTATATGTATTATATGCATTCATATCCACCATCTTTCCTATTGCAGCGATATCATCCATTATTCAGTTGATTAAAGCCTATGATACGGCCTACCTCTTCTGTTGTGCTCAGAGCATCTCGTTGATTGATGATCTACTAAAACCGGTCATGTGCTTCCGCGGGAATTTTGTCCAGTCATTCACATAGCACTTATTGCAATATATAAATATGTAATTTTCACCTCTCTGTTTATCGTTTAGTTTGATTTTCTTCTTCATTGGTCGACCAAATAGGCAACCGAAAGACAAGAAAAACGAGCTCGTGGATGGTCGTGCAATCTTACCTAAGGATCGCTTGTTACACGTGCAGAACCAAAAGTAAAAACCTGCACTTCGTTTGTGATTTGAGTCAATACAGGAGTGCTACTAGCTTTCAAGTAACAAAAAGCCGACATTCTCTGAAAGTATCAATTTATGCATGGACCATTGCTAGGGGAGGAGATAAGCTATGGTAAGAGGGATGAAGAATCCGATAAAAAACCGGAGTGGATTGTGTACGGTTAGCCAGTACTGGGCAGGCGAAAACGAAATGGCCCACACAGAGGGAGTGTACGGGCGAGTGGAAGGGCAGGTTTATCAATCATTAACGTCAGTTTGATCTAGAAGTAGTCGTGTACTACACCCACTTGTTTATTGCGGAATCGACGAGTTGTATGCGCGTAAAACTCGTCCACATTCGGGTCAACCCAAAGACCGCGAGGATTGTGAAACACGGGGTACTCGTGCCAATGGCCTACTTTCCAACCAGGCACATCCTTCATCAGTTTCTCCTCGTACTCCCGATTTCGACGAATCTGTTTCAAATACAACCGTTCCTGTTCAGCCAGGATGAATGGTGATAGGGCGATGCGAACCTCCTCCTCTTCTCGCACTCGTGCATCCCGCTGGCTCCGCATATAATTGTGATATTGCAGTCCAACTGCAGTGCATGCATACAGTCCACCAATGATCAGGAGACCTAAAACCAATGGTATCGAAAAGATATTAAAAAGCAAATATATATATATATATGCATATAGCAGATCCTTATATGTTAGTTACTTTGGCTTTATATGAAGAACAAAGTTGAAGTAATGATGAAACCACACACAAACAGGTCAACAAAGTCTTGGCGAAGATTTTCTTTTCAAATCGAACAAATAACTAATTCTTGGAACTTTGAAAAACGCTGCTTCACAGTAGTCCGGCTCTATGTCAGGCCACTCCGAACCTCATGATTATGGTTCATATTTTACTCCTCTAGCATGATGAATCGGGAGAGTTCACAATTCAGCTAAACAAATCTTGACAAAACAAGAAAAAAGGTCCATAAATTGCATGTGAGTCGAATACTGCTGGGTTGCCCAGGCCAAGGTAGGTGAATTTTCTTGAGGAATCCACAACTGGTTAGCCAAAGCCTATCCGCAAGGCAGCGGGGAACGGTGTGTGCAAACCGCTATCCGTTAAGGGCCGGTGTCCAATTCATCGGATCATACGCAGTTTGGAAAGGGCAAAACGTCCAGGGTGCCCACTGCCACAACCGGGAGGGTATGGTTCGCACACATCTTCTTGGTCAGCTCGGAATCAGGGTTTTTGGCCAACTCCCCTAGATGGACCGCCAGTGGCCCACCAACCCGGTTATAGCCCAGTATATGGGCTTTTCGTCCTCTCACTCTGGTGGGAAAACACCTCAGCCACGTGAAAGCAGTCAGTAGGACTTCCTCAGCAGAGGCTATTTGAGACGCTTGGTCTTATGGGAGCACTTCGCGAGGTGCAAGGAAAGGGTGACTAGCAGCAACCCTAGACCCCCCCGCCGACCATATTGAGGCTTTCGGAGGCACAATCCAGCGTACTCATGTAATTATGTTCGTCTCCTCCAGTCATTTGTGCACTAGTGCGCTCAGCATCCGCACTGGTGGTAGTAGCGTAGCGGTTTATTTGC